TGACTTCTATTCAAATGATAAAGATTGCTTTATTTCATTTCTTCCTATGATCTAGAAGTTGTGTATTCTATTTCTATTCTTTTAGTAGTTATACCCTGAAATGTTTAACTTATATAATGACTTTATTAGAGTCCAAAATTAACCATTTAAATTATGTCCATGGTTGTCACGACCACTTTGAGAACATTAGAATGTTTTAACTTCAATTATCCATCTAATTTTATATATGATTGTTACTATTTTAGTCCCACCTTATATTTCCTCAAATTAATCATTGCTATGTAATTATTATTTTCATTATATAAGTGCAATACTTGTTTATATTTTTCACATGTTTATCTGTTTTCTCTGCTCATTGTTGCTTCTTACATCTTACTCTTTTCTTGTGAGTTCAGTTTATTTTTGAAGTGTGCCCTTTAGATTTTTTTTAGCAAAGATCAATGGATAATAAATAGTAACTCTCTCTTAATATACCTTTATTTTGCCCTGTATATCCAGTAATTATTTATATGTATGTATGTATACATATGTATGTGTATGTATGTGTATATACGTTTACACACATATACACACATATCTAGGAATAGACTAGTTTTTTAAAAATATCTTTTTATTGTAAAATAAAACACAAAACAAAAGTATGGTTTAGTGAGTTATTATAAGATAAACACTCTTGTAACTACTACTCAAGAAATAGAAATGCATCAGGTGTGAATATATTTTTATTTAGTTTGCTTGGGACTCTTGAAACATTTAGGATAATTTTCTCAAACATATCTTCTATTTTACACATTCCCTCTTTAGTTGTATCTACTTACTCTGCCTATTTTTTGTTACTATGTTTTTTCATTTATATAGTTCTCTTTGATTCTTTTTCATATCATTCTTATCTTTCCCGTGCTGCTGTATTGTTTCATGGATATTTTCCTTCCTTTATATCGTTCATCTTTTACCACATACTGGTCTTTTACAGATTAGTTGTCTACCATTTAAAGTAATCCTTTCTGTTGCATTTATGGAGTCTGGTTCATTTGTTGGTGTTTTTATGCCTCCAGGGCTTCATCAGGGTGAATCCTGGGCCAGCTAAGCTGTGGGAATTTCTCTGGTTCTGCTCTGCTCCAGAGCATCACCATGTTGGACCAGATTCTCTCCCTTTCCCAGTACCACGGGGAGAGTAGTAGTCCATGCCCCAAACCTACAAGAGATGCAAGCCTAGCCATGTGATTCCACAAGGAATGCGCATTGTTTGTTTTTAAAGCTTGGACCCAACCGAAACAAACCTGTGCAAGCGAGTGAAGTTTATTTTTCTAGACTTCAATTTACTCAGGGTTCAGCTGTCTTAGGTTCCAAGGTTTGCGCAAGAGTGTTAATTCCAGTCCACCCGATTTCAGCGGAGGGCTTCGCCTTTTGTCCTCATAAAAGTATCAGAAATCACGCTTCTGGATTGCTGAGACCTGAAACAAAGTTCCTGCCTTCTTTCTGGGCAGCCACAGCACAGGTCATATGCCCCCCTCACTGGTTTTCAGTGCCCTCCTCAGGGCTGGCACTTGTCGGGGTCACCCTTTCCAGGGATTAGAGCACAGTCTTGGATGGTTAGCAATCCAATATTCACTTAATATCAAACACTTCTAGGTCATTGTTGTGAGATTTTTCAAAATTAGGGTGGGGGAAAAACCCAATGTGGAGAAAGTTCTTGTCATTGGTAATTTACATTTAACTTATAAATTTATAATGAGCAAATAATGGAATAAAACATTGGCAAACAAAAACTAGGAATTATTCATTATAGTTTTGAGAAATACTTGAGAGCTTGGCAACTGAGCTCCTATTCGGATTCTTCTCTAGGAGGAAACCAGTTCTTGTAGGGTTTTTGGGTTTTTTTTACGCAATGTTATCTGATTGTTCCAAGGGACAGTGAAGCCTTTTTGATCAGCTGATTACGTAAGCACAGCAACATTCCGCATTATCGGCCCGAGTGGTGCACACACGCTGCTTTCACTGTTTTCACATTCAAGTAAATTCTCGTTCACTGTATTTTAACTTTGTGTTAGCTTTACTAAGTAATGTTCCTTGCACAATAGTGTTAAATTAAATTCTAAATAGGTGGATCGACTGTCTCCCTGAGATTACTGTATCTACATTTTGAACAAACAGTAGCCACAGTAGAGTGCAGCTGTGCCATCCCAGCCTCTTCATGTCGTAGTTCACGAAATTCGACCGGGCAGCCTTTCCTGCCTCCCACTCGAAACCTTCCCCTGTCGGGCCTCAGTCTGCTGTCTAGGTGGGATTACTGGAATTATCTGGAAGTTAGAGCCCAGAGGAGGCAGAGGGAGCAGGTCCAGAACTGCAAGGGGATTAAATGGCCGTGGTTTCTTTCTTAAATGAGAGACTTAAGAAATGCTTTGTCTTTGTTTACTATTATTATTCCTCAGTGACTGAGACTTCCCAACACTCAAGCTTTCATTTTACTGCCTTCTAGAATTCCTATCAAATAGATAATTGTGTATTCATTATTTGTTAAGTAGACACTACCTATTCCCCCCATTAAAAAAAGAAAAAGCTGAAGGAAGAGCGTGGAGATGGGGGAGCATATTCCAGCTCTTCCCGTGGTTCTCAGCGCCGTCCGTGTCAGGACTATAAAGAACTGAGCGCATGGTTCCCACTGGCAGACAAGGAAGACACCGGAAGTCTTTCTGGCAGTAAATCTGTAAAATATGCATGTTTCGTGCCCTTTCACACGAAACGTATGAATGTCTAGAGTTTTGAAGAAGAGAATGCAGATTTTCATAACTTTCATGATTTGTAAAATTTAATCATTGTCTCAGAAGGAAATGCACATGATTTCAAAATGGTTTGTGACATGGGGTTGCCTATATAAATGAAAACGTATATTTGCAAAAAAGTCTAGTTTTCTAAATAAAAATCTGAAAAGTCAATAAATTGAAACCCATTATCGTTTTACTCATAAGGTAGTTTGGAGAATTATTTTTATTTTTTCAGTTTGCCTAAACTTGATTTAGCACATAATGTTTTCAAGGTGTCTTGTCAGATGCGATCAAACACTGAAAAATGACTTAGTAATTTCTGTGTGTTTCTCCATGTCAGCTGTACAGTAATAGTAATGGTTGCTTAATGTCCAAAGAAAGGGTCCCTGGGTGATAGTGTATTCACTAAAAGCATGCTTTAGTTTTAAGAAGTTTGGATTTTTTAAAAAGTAACTTTGTAGTATTTCTTCTTAAATAATTCAGTGAACAGATTGATGCTTTCTAATACACACATTTTTTCTGTCTAAGCGTGTCTAACAAAATGTTTAAAATTATCCATTACTTTTTATATACAAATTTCTATGAAATAAATTTTATTTAGCTTTAATTTTTCCACAGAATTAGCATTTGGTACTGAAATGATGAAGCAGAGAGATAAAGGCTTCGATGTGTGATTTATATTACGGTGCTCTGCCGGGTAACCAAGCCTGTTTTTGCAAGTCCACATATGATTGAATAATTTCTTTTAGTTTCTAGGTGGACAGTAATCTTTCAGTAGATGTAGTAATGTAGCAATCTTTCAGTATGTAAGTATATATTCAGTATATAAGTATATATTCAGTATATGTAGTAATCTTTCAGTATAAAAAGAAGTAAATGAATTATAGACTGTATCTTATTTTTATTTATATATGTTTTACATTAAGTAGTTTTAATACATTTATTATCACAGTGTTGGAATAAATGTATTACATTCATTGTTTCTGGGCTTAACTTTCAGCCAACAGAGTAGGGGACTTCTGCCACTTCTGTAACGTTGCTAGAATAGTGTTCTTTACACTAGAAAATTGGTAAATAAGAGGAATACTTCTTTTTCTTAAACCTTACTAGTGGAAGAAGAGTCAAGTATAAATGGAAAATCTTCCTCTAAAATAATTTTATAAAAGTATTTAAATGGCACCAAAGTGCCTCTGAAAGTTTCAGTTATAGCCATATGAGTGTACATTATTAAAGAGGAATTCTTATCTCTATGTAATATATCTGCACTACAGTTTATTTAGCTCTTTGTTACATTGGGATGAGTCATATGACACAGTTGGTTATTTTAAAAATTGTTTTAGTTCTTAAAATTAATTTTTAGGCTGATATGTGAAATTAGCTCTTTTTAAAATTCTACAAAGGAGAAAAAAACTACCGTATTTTTTGGACTGTAAGACGCACTCCAACCCCCACCCCCCCATTTGGGAGGAATGATGGTTGTTAACGCTGCTGTTGAGTTCTGTTTACATTTACATTGGTGAAATACTGTGTTATTTATGTTATTAAATATTTTACCACATTTTTGCATTCAAAATTTTGCTTTTTTTTTCTATTTTCCTCCTCTAAAACCTAGCTGCATCTTATAGTCCAAAAAATCAGATAACTGGAAGAGAAAATCTTTTTTTTTTAAAGACAGTTGGCTTATCATCACTAAACACTATCAAACAATGGCAAACCTAGACAAGATGGTGTGGTGGGAAATTTTTTTCCCTTTTTTTATCTTTGGGTTCCCTACTCCCCTTATTAATAAGCCATTGGCCTTCCTTCCCCCTCCAAGTTTTCCAGTGTTTTCCCAGTCCTGCCTATCTGGAAATAAAGCTATGGAGAGTAAAGTGTTAGGCAGTTCATGTTATCCTAGCAGGACTGTGCATTCTTTCAGAAAACAATAATTGAAATCTACACATAAACAGAAAAGTAGGGAATGAACGGATGCACAAGTGGGCAGGTGGGTGCATAGGGGAATGAATGGTGGTGGGTTTCGCACGGGAAGTCATTATGTGCCCAGGACTCATCCTCTGTCAGTGATGGTCCGTCCTGGGGAGAAGAGGGACTGTCAGGTAGTGTCTGCCACCCTGTGTTCTCTGCTCTGTGTGGTGATTAACCTCAACCACTGACATGTAGTGTGAACTCTCTTTTTGGGTCATTTGTCATACTAGCTTGAAATAAAATCTCTTTTTGTTCGATTGTTTGTTTAAGGCGGAAAGAGCATACTCCTTTTGTGGAACTATTGAATATATGGCACCAGATATTGTCAGAGGGGGCGATTCGGGGCATGACAAGGTATGTGCTGTTTTTATATATCGCTGTGAAATGTATAGTAAGAATCCTAGTTAATGAGTTAGGTGCAATCTCTTCAATAGAGTTCTCTTTCTGGTCTTGTCTTACCTTTATTTTTTTATCCCCTTTGCTATATACACGGCACATTATGATACCTAGTGTTTTGGAGGAAAAAGATAATAGAAAACTTAGGAATTCTAGATTTCCTGTTTTTCAGGTTTTATTGCTGAGGATAATTTCTTGTTTTATAGAGTAACACTCAATTCTTCAAATAACTTTTATGTTATTTTCATTAAAAGAGTCTTGAGCAAAACACCAGTTGTAACTCTATTTAAAACAAGAATCATTCATTTTCTCTGCATAGGATCTCTGCCTTTAGCTCACAGCTGAGCCGCAGTGCAGTGGTGTTACCAAGTGCACAAACTCCATATTTCCTGTCTGTGTCGTGCTGAATGATTTTGGACAGTGCTTATTGGCATTATTGATTTTTGTTAGGAAAACATACAAAATGTATAGTTAACTCACCTTTAGTTGGTATTTACTTTCTAAGAGATTGTTGAAAAGGGAATCTTGTTGTCTTATTCCCAATTTCTTCTAAGTTTGTGGAGATACTGAAGGCTTTCTTGGTTCTCTCTCTTCAACAGGAATAATTGTTATGACTATCCCTGGAGAAAGAAAATAACCCTTTTTTAAGCATTCAAGATAGGCTAAGTTTGTTTTCCTAAGCCCTCTAAAGAGCTCAGTTTTTTATTCTGCTCATTTTCCTTTGTTATGTGCAAAACGGAAGTCTCCGAAGAGGTCTTCTTGGTAGTTTTAAAATCCAAGTAACATATTTATTCTTCCTGTATTAAAGGGTACAGACTTGTTCAGTTCTTTCCTAAAACTTTTGCTTTATTAATAACTTTCTCCAAATAACGGATTTTGACTAATTTTTGCTCCTCACATTCCCTTTTCCCTCGTGCCCTTTCAAAACCCCGTATATACAGTCCAGATATCTCAAGTGTGGAGAATGTTTGCTAATGACTTATCATTTATCTAAAGCCTGTTCTTTAAGTTTTCATGACTAGGAATCTGATTGTAGAGCTGTATCAATTTTAAGAGTATGGTTTCAAATCCAGCAACAAAACATTCTCAGGGTCCCAACTCAGAGCAAAATGGCTTGTATAAATAAAAGAATTGAATTGTTGGTTTAGTTTGCTTCAAGGTATTCTTTGCAACTATTGGGAAATTTGGTAGGAATTTATACCTATTAAAAGTTGAAAATTACCTTCTTTGACCTAATGGAATCAATTTGTAGGAAGAAAAACCTTATATTGCTCCTAGAATTTCCACACACCTGAGGTCCAGAATACAGCTGGGTCACTGGGCGCACATGGAAAGCTTGGGGACTGCGACCTGGTTCGGTGAGGCATGGCACACACGTACACGCAGTGCCCGCCGGGTGCCCGGTCCTGTTTCTGTGTCGCTGCCCCGTGTTCCCTGTAAAACAGCTCCAGGCTCTTAAATTTTGCATCATCGTTCCCTGAAACCTTGGCTCTGAAATTTGGAAGCAGAGTTTAAAATTTCAGTGTCCAATGAATGTCTCATTGGCATAAGCTCCTACATAAAACTGTTACCGAAACCTTGATTTGGGTAATTACAAAAGAAGCGGTTTCCAATACAGCAGCATTCAAGATTATTGTAATTTGCTGTGTTCTCAGTTCAGGAAACTACTGTACAAATTGGGTTTCAATTTAGATCACATTTTATTTTACGCTATTTTAAATCCCATTATGCATCCCACAAATTAAGACTATTAGGTGTATGTGATAGGTTCTATAAGAGGAATTGGTTTAGGTGGTTATGAGAAAAATACCTCTAGATGGGACTTTTTTTCATTTTTGTTCTTTAATTTTATATTATTTATTGGAGCTATATAATTATTAAAAATGCTCATTGGTACTTTCCCCTCTCTGTCGTAAGTCCACAGGTTTCACTTACTTAAAAATTTTTAAGTTTATTTTAAACTTAAAGAAAAACTTTTTGATTAACCAAAATAAAACCATTACTAGTTTAGAAAATTATTAAACCACTTTTAGCTTATTGATTGATGGCCTATTTAAATTTTATTCTGAAGGTACCTGAATATATGTTCTCTAAATGTCTTTCTTGCATGTGCTAATTTAATGCCCCTTACACAAAAAGCTGTTTACAAAATCTTTTTGTTAAAATATTTTCCAAATATGTAGCTTTATTTTGTTCATTTTTCTTTCTTATAAATTGTACACTAGTTAATATTCTATCAAGTGAAATCGCTGTTGTTTTGTAGGCAGTTGACTGGTGGAGTTTAGGTGTTCTAATGTATGAGTTACTAACTGGAGCGTCTCCTTTCACTGTTGACGGGGAGAAGAATTCCCAGGCTGAGATATCGAGGTAAGACTGACAAAATAAAATGAATGTGTTGTTGCTGCAAAGGCAATGATCCTATTTCCGTAATTCGGGTGATGGGGAAAAGTGATTTTTTTTAATGGGGATAGACAAAGTTATGTTTCGGTGGCTCATTTTTGTTTATAATCATATGGATGTAGATAGATAACCTTTATATTTCTTGATATTTTATTTGCCCAGATAGATCTTACATTTCAGAAGGAGATCATAATTTTTGTGTGTTCCAAAGCATTTGGCATGTTGTCTTAACTTAGTAAGTGCATGGTGTATTGACGTTTATTTGATGGACATTTTCTTCCCACTGTAACCATATTATAATTTCTTTGTGACTTTAACATAAGTAAATAGTAGTGCTATTTTTCAATTCATGTATATAGGCTTAATTGGAAGAAATACCGTAAAGTCACGCTCTTATAGGTTATCTTAGCATTACTTCCCTTCATAGGAGTTATGAAATTGTATTGCTGGAGGACTTCCGCCAAGATGGAGGTTTAGGTGGATGTGCCTTGCCTCCTCACACAACCAAGTTTAGGGACAACTAAATATTAGCATCAGAAAACACAACCAGAACACGGAAAACTGAACTTTTCGGAAGTCCGCTAACAACAAATTCTTCGGCCCGACTGGTAAGGGGCGAAACCGGCCTCGGGTGAGGAGTTACAAAGGAGAGCTCGATCGACCCGGGCGCGGAATCCAGACGCGCGAATCCAGTCGCACGGGTTCCAAACCCAGGATTGGACCTAGTGAGCGACCGAGCGGCCCACCGGGTGAGCGACTACGGAGGAGTCAGTGGGGAGGCGGTGGCAGCGAGTTGACTGTGGTTGCCCGGTTGCGCGCGGGTGAGGGAGTGAGCGGTCGGACCGGCGGCGGCGCCATTTCCCCGCTCTGACCACGCCCCCACATACAGCGTCACAACCCAGCGACCTGGGACTCCAAGGCGCCGCTTCTCTCACTTAAAGGGCCAGAACAGACCAAAAATGTCGCAGGGGGACCTCAAAGCCCCGGAGATAAATCTAAGTGACGAAGAAATAGCAAATCTCTCAGACGCACAGTTTAAAACACTGGTCATCAGCTTCCTCACAGATCTGGTGGACTATAGCCACAAATTAGAGAAACATATGAAGGCTAAATTAAGGGAAATGAATGGAATTCCACGGGAAACCCATAGAGATGAAAAAAAAACTGGGACTCAAATCAATGGAGTGAACCAGAAGGAAGAAAAAAATGTTCAATCAGAAAGGAATGAAGATATAAGAATTCAGAAAAATGAGGAGAAGCTTAGGAACCTCCAGGACATCTATAAACGCTCCAATATCCGAATTATAGGGGTACCAGAAGGGGGAAAGACACAACCACCAGTGGAAAAACTATTTGAACAAATAATAAAAGAAAATTTCCCCAATCTGGCAAAGGAAACAGACTTCCAAGAAATCCAAGAAGCCCAGAGAGTACCAAAAAAGTTGGACTCAAGAAGAAACACACCAAGGCATACCATAATTACATTAGCCAAAATTAAAACGAAGGAGAGAATCCTGGAAGCAGCAAGAGCTAAGGGGACAATCACCTACAAAGGAGTCCCCATCAGGCTGTCAGCAGATTTCTCAAAAGAGACCTTACAGGCAAGAAGGGGCTGGAAAGAAATATTCCAAGTCATGAAATCTAAAGACCTACAACCAAGATTGCTCTACCCAGCAAAACTTTCATTTAGAACGGAAGGACAGATAAGGTGCTTCTCAGATAAGACCAAATTCAAGGAGTTCATCATCACCAAGCCCTTATTATATGAAATGTTAAAGGGACTTATCTAAGAAAAAGAAGTTAAAGAAACATGAACAGTGAAAGGACAACAAACTCACAGTTATTAACAACCACACCTAAAACGAAAGCAAACTAAACAGCTAGATCAGGAGTGGAAACATAGAAATGAAGATCTCAAGGAGGGTTAGCAACAGGGGAGTGGGAGGAGGAGACGGGGAGAGAAGGTACAGAAAACAAGTAGCATAGACAGTAGATAGAAAATAGATGGGGGGGGCAAGAATAGTATGGGAAATATAGAACCTAAAGGACTTGAGACACATGGACATAAGCTAAAGGGGGGGTAATGGTGGGGTTGGGGGGGCAGGGTGGAGGGGAATGAAGGGGGGAATAGAACAACTGTAACAGCATAAACAATTCAAAAAAATAAATAAATTTATTTAAAAAAAAAAAGAAATTGTATTGCTGTATTTTTGCTTATAATTATTTGGTTAACATCAGTCTGTCCCATTAGCTTGTGAGCTCTGGGAGAGCAAGGGGCATGTGTGGCTTTGGCCCTCAACACTGTGCTCGGTGCCACTCAGCGCGGTTCCTCTGCAGAGCTCAATAAATACGTTTGGAATGGAAGAAGCTAATGAACAAGTAAACAACAATGATAAAACATTATACTAATTACTAGTTATGCTTTTGTCGTGTTTTTACTTGAATTTTATAACTTTGAGAACAGATTTGACATTAAAAATTAGAAATTGGGACTTCCACTTCTTACCAAGATGGAGTAACAAGAACCGGATTTATTTTCCTGCCTGAAACAGTTTTTTTAAAAAAAATATTTAATTTATTTATTTTTAGAGAGAGGGGAAGGGAAGGAGAAAGAGTGGGAGAGAAACATCAATGTGTGGTTGCCTCTCGTGAGTCCCCTGCTGGGAACTGGCCTGCAACCCAGGCATGTACCCTGACTGGGAATCAAACCACGATACTCTGGTTCGCAGGCCCGCACTCAATCCACTGAGCTACACCAGCCAGGGCTTGAAACAGTTTTTAAAACGGGCAAAATATCCGAAAGAACAATACTGAAGACATGGGACATCTAGCAGTAAAGGATAGTGAACACTGAGAGATGGAAGTGCACAAGGCGAGGCCTGAGATTGCCCAGCTCACTGCCTTCAGGGTGTCCAGGCTACAGCACAGGGAGGGCAGCCGGGCAGAGCTGAGACGGAGCTGAGAGTCCAGGAAGACCCAGGCGGATTGAGTTCGAAGGCAGAGCGTTGGAGAGGAGAGGGCTGCAGAGAGAGAAGTTCAGAGATTTGCAGAAGGTATCCCTCAAGTATTCCTTCAGTTACATATTGATAAGCACATGTGAGTGGGAACTACTCAGCATAGTTAAGATATTATTTATCTCCAAACTGCTCTATAGATTAACCACAATCACAATCTTTGCAGACTTCTTTTTTTTATTGCTAGAAATTGACTTCCTGGATCTTAGAGAAATAAAGAGAACCTAGAATAGCCAAATCATCTTTGAAAAAGTAGTCCTAAGTTTATTTGAAGACTTATAAGTGACAGTAATTAAGACACTGTGATGTTTGCATCAAGATAGACAAATATTCAATGAAATAGAATAGAGAGGCCAGAAATAGAGCTACACAGATATAGACAACTGATTTTTTAAATAAAGGTGTGAAGATAATGCAGTAGAGAAAAGATAGTCTTTTCATTAAATGATGGCAATGGTAAGGAGAAAAAATGAACTTCTATAACTACTTTGCACCGTATAGAAAAGTTAACTTAAAACAATCATTGACCTAAATGTAAATCTAACACTTAGGATTTCTGAAAGAAAACATAAAGAAAAATCTTTGCGACCTGGGATTGGGTAAGGATTTCTTAGATGCGACACAAAAAGTGTAATCCATAAAAGTAAGCATTGATAAACTGGACTCCATCAGAATTCTGTTCTTCGGAGCAACTGCTGAGAGACTGGAAAGACAAGCCGCAGACTGGGATGCAGTTATAAATCCTGTCTGGCAAGGACTGGTATCCAGAAAACGAAGAACTCTCAAAGCTCCAGGGGAAAAAAGCTCTTCATTTTTTTTAAATGGGCAAAAAATTTAAACAGTTAACCAAAGAAGATCCATGGTGGCAAACAAGCACCTGAGAAGATGGCCAAAATCATGAGGCTCTAGGGAAATGCAAATTAAAACACAGTGAGATACCATGATATACTCCCTGGAATGGCTACATAAAGGGCCTGTCTTAGGCTTCTCCAGAGAAAGAAAAACAATAGGACTTATAAAAGGAGATTTATTATAAGGAATCAGCTCACAAATTATGAAGGTCGAGAAGTCCTGCCACCTGCCATTTGCAAGCTGGAGGCCCAGGAAAGCCGGTGGTTCTGAGGGCAGAAGACATGCACCCCAGGTTAAGCGGGAAGGGACTGAATCCACCCTTCCTCTGCTTTTAGGCTTTTAGTTTTTCCTATTTAGACCCTAAATGGATTGGATGATACACACCCACATTAAGGAGGGGATTCAAATGCTAAACTCGGAAAGGAACACCCTCACAGACACACTCAGAAATGTTTAATCAGGGCAACCTGTGCCCCAGTCATGTGACACTTAAAAGTTAATCATCACAAGTTCACCCTTTGTCAACTTGACGGCCATTTGCATGTCCTTATACTGTACTTAGTCTCCAAACAAAGACAAGTAACAAGGTCATAATTCCATCCGGTGCAGAACAGGGTGAGACCAGTGAATTTCAGAAGCAGTGCTGTGTGGAATGTGTCTATTCTCTTTTTTTATTTTATTTATTTATTTTTTTATTTTTAAAGAGAGGAGAAGGGAAGGAAAAAGGGAGAGAAACATCAGTGTGTGGTTAGTCTTGCATGCCCTCGCACTGGGAGTCTGGCCCACAACCCAGGCATGTGTTCTGACTGGGAATCAAACTGGCAACCGTTTAGTTTGCAGGCCTGTGCTCAATCCACTGAGTTACACCAGCCAGGGCTGAGCATCTGTTCTAAGTAGAATGAAATGCCGTCCCTTCCATAATGGAAGCAGTCCATGGTAGTTGATTTGCCTCCAGGGGGCTGGCTGATTACCGGGGATTAATGCCATATTGGGCACTTGGTGCGCTCAGCATGGCCACGGCCAGGTCAGCGTTGGTGAGGAGAAGCCCACCTGTAGCCTCCACCCCCGCCACGAGGGCCATTTTGTTCAGGAGCCCACTGG